TAGGGTTCGTGAGAATTCGATCATGCAACCGAATTGGTGAGGCTAAGACCCAAGCCAGTTCAACGATTTAGAGAGGCTAAGACCCGATCTATTTCGAGAGTGTAGCGAGGAAATACCCGAGTGAACTCAAGTATCGTGAGAGAGTTAGGCTAATAACCGAGTCGATCACACCTATCGTCGAGAGCAAGGCCGTGGCGAAGCCGTGATCGAGACAAGTCGAGGGAACGCAACACCCGATCCGTCATCAAGCAGCCTGCGCGCGAGCGTGGGCAGCAGCGCACACGGACAGCACACGCGCGCGGGCAGCGCTGCCAATGGCGGTTTGGGGTTACTTAGAGTGCAAGACAAGTTCAAGATCCCTAGTTATTTAGTTTCCTTAATGCTCTATGATATCTAGATTGGTTAGGATACTTAATATTTTATTGCTTTATTATTTCCCTAGGTAGATTAGGACTAGATATATTTTATGCCTATATAAAGGCCCTTCCCTATGTTATTTTTCATCATGAATTTTATGAATAGAAATCTGAACTTTTGTTCTTCCACTTTGCTTTAGTTTTCCACCAAAATTCTATTGCAATTTTATTCGTTCCAAGAGGCGCTGTTGTGGCTCGAAGAACACCTATCGGCGATTCAAGGCGCGGGTTAGCGGCTTATCCGCAATCGAAACACACGATCTTCATCAGCATGCGCCTGCGCATGCGGTCCACTCGCGCGCCATCACATGCCTATCTCCTCGTCCGAACTCCTCGCGCGCATGGTTGTTGTCGCCCCTTACTCCTATGCCTGCTCAGTCTCGGACGCCCGCGCTTGTGCTCCACTTGCGCGCTCTTGTGCGCGCCCCGCACCCGCCAACCTTCTTGCGCGCGTACGTGCTACCCACTGCTTCCAGTGCCCGTGCGCACTCCTCGTGTTCGCGCCCTGTCCGCTGCGCGTCCACTCCCGCCAGTCCTAGGCCTACAAGGCCTAGGCTCTCGCCCACGTGAGCTTTCCTCGCGCACACCGTGCTCTGTTCCTCTACTCCGCACGTCCCACCCACGCCGGTGCTCCGATTGCCTATTCCGCACCCGCGTGCGCCCAACGCCGTGTGCACCACCTTATTGCGCGCATCATGGCACGATGCGCGCCATACGCCCGATAGTCGATCTCCCTCGACCCCTTTGTCGCTCGACTCCGTTGGCCATGGGTCTCATCCTTCCAACTCAATACAATCTCCTGCTCGCCATATCCAACCATTTTATATTCTCTGCCTACCACGCCTTCTAGCCTCCATCTTCCATACTCGTCCCTTTCTCGCACAAGGCTTGCACCAACACTTCCCTTCCATAGCCTTTGCCTTGCGTTTCCTTCGGGCTTGCTTGGCCTTGCGTTTCGGAGCCTTCACCTTTAATTTCGGACCACATCCTTTTGGCCAATCTCTTACACAAGAAGGTCGATATATTGGACTTGATGGCTCCTCTAGCATGTTGTCCAATCATATGTTGAGATCGTCGCCATCCTCATCCTCTGACTCGCCTGGGTTGATGACACTTCCGTATCAGTGCGTGTCTGCGCGCACTGCTCTGCTGTGCCGCGCCCGCGTGCGCCCGTGATACGGAAGTGGGTATCGACCCTCAATGATGAGAAAGGCCGAGGGCCGAGGCTAATGAACAAGGCCGAACAAAGGGCGCAAACAAGGCTTTCATGGCCCAGGAGGCGTGCACGAGCCCGTATACGAGAGTGCCGACATGCACAATGGCATAGGAGGTCGAGCAAGAAGCTCAAGGGATTGAGGCTTGAAGGCTCGAGTGACGCGGTTGACTGGTGCAAGGTGTGCGCAAGGGAGCAACGCACACGAAGCTTAGAGGCTAAGGCCTCAGGCGTTTA